GCAGCTGTCCTCTGGCTGGTCAGGGAGGCTGTCATCACGCCAGCTGGCACCACGCGCAATCGTTGGCAGCATGACGGCGCGCGGGGTCTCGAAGACGGGGGCGGGGTCCTGGGAGTCGCCCAGGATCTCGATCGCATCCCCGCGGCCACCACTGCGGGAGCGACTCCGCCGGGGAACGATGCCGCCGACGCCGGATTCCTGGAGGCGGAGTGGGAGGCGGAGGAGAAGGAGGAGGGGCAGGGGGACAATAACATTACAGGAAGACGACCACGACTGGGCGGAGTCCGCAGGAACGAGGGACGAGGAAGAGGCGAGGAGGAGGAGGAGGCGGCGATGGAGACGACGCGAGCGAGGCGGGGGAGTAGGGGAGTCGAAATAAGATGAGGGCGTGGAGAAAGAAGAGATGGAGGAGGAGGTGGAGGAGGGGGAGGAGGAGGCCTTGTTGGCGGCGGACGCCCGCTCCAACTGGCGGCACGCCCTGAACTCCTTGAAGGTCCCCAGGCTGTGCCAAGAAGGGGGTGGCTCTCCATCGTCGGCAGCAGGTTGTGAAAGCGCGACTTTCACGTCTGAGGACAAAGTTGCACCATCTCCTCCCGTCACGCCCATGCCATGTGTTTGAAGGGCGTCGAGCGTATCCCCCACCTCCGCGAGCACGTGGGATGCCGACCTAGCGGCACCAGCAACGGCGGGCACATGTGCCAGTGGCGCCTCCGGAATGATGGCGGGATCCCTTGACAAGTAGTACATGCGTTGGCCGGCGCCAGTGTGCTCAGGATTGTGCGTTGCCATCGGCGGAAGTGATGTCATGCATGTGGCGCGAGCCAGCTTGCTCAGGGCATGCCTCACAAACTTAGGCAACTCTGCCGAAGATGACCATGCCTGGACGTCTGTCATCCTCCCGTCGCGAGCGTTGGGAAGTCGGCCTTGTCGGATGATATTGGCCTCGATTGCCTTGGCCGAGTGCTCGTCGAACGTGATGCAATGCTCCCGGAAACACGGCTTGCCGTTTGTGAAACCGACGCACTCGTTGAAACATACGTACCCTTGTTGGGCGAGCGCCTCAGCGGAAGAAGAGCTCATATTATTGTTGTATGTACGTGGTGGAGTCACGGCGTCGTAAACGTGAAACCGCTTGAGCCCAAAATGGCTAATAATGATTCGGAGGAATCAACAAGGCCCGTGCCAAGTGATCTTGGAGGTGATGGTGGTGAGTGTGGTGATGAGTGCGATGAGGGCCGTGATGATCAAGAATGGGAAGATGGCCCAGAGGACCTCTCGTGGCCCAGGCCAGCGCCGTTGAGAATTACGAGCCGAATCCAGCCGACGAGGGGTAGATGACGATGGCGATGATGACAATGACAGTGTTAGCCAGTGTTATGATGTGTTATTTTATTTTCTTGCCCAGCCCCAGCAGGCCTGCGTCTCCAACGACGACGGCCCAGCCCGCGTCTCCAACGACGACGGCCAGCAGGACATCCACCCGTGGGGGGGGGGGGGCGGGAAGGAGGGCCAGGAAGAGTAAAGGCGTGGGGGAAGAAGAAGGAGGGGGAAGAAGATGCACCCGGACGCGAGCGAGGCAAGAGGGAGAAAGGTGACGAGGAGGGGGAGGACGGAGGGTGGAGGAGGAGAAGGAGACGGAGGTAGGGTAGTATGGAGAAGGAGGACGATCAGGAGGTACGATGTTCTCCAATTCAAGCTCAAGCTATTGACTGGTCTGGATATCATCATTTTCATATTTTTCCTCGAGCTCAATCTGGCCTCCAACATTCCCGAACGTTCCGATTTGGGGGTTGTGTGAACGCAATCTGGCTTCCAGCATCCCCGAACGTTCCGATTTGGTATGTTTTTTTACTCGAGCTCAATCTGGCCTCCAACATTCCCGAACGTTCCGATTTGGGGGTTGTGTGAACGCAATATGGCTTCCAGCATCCCCAGACGTTCCGATTTGGTATGTTTTTTCTCGAGCTCAATCTGGCCTCCGACATTCCCGAACGTTCCGATTTTCAGCGCGGGCTCCAAGAGCGTGGCAATAACATCCCTGCACGCTCCGAATATGGCATGGGCGCCTCATCCTGCTGCCGAGGAGATTCCCCCAGCTCACGCGCGACCCAAACCCTCATAAGGACTGGGCTCTGCCGGCAGTAGCCGCCGCGGGCGCGTTGGTAGGACTGGCCCCAGGGCCACCCTCTACCAACACTCCCGAACGAACGGGAGTGTTGGGGGCCACTCTGCAAGGCGCTACGCAAGGACTTCCCCTGTCGGGCCAGTCTCTTCTCGGACAGGTTCTGGGCTTGCGTAGCGCTCTCCAGTGTGGCCCCCAACGCTCCCGAACGAACGGGAGCGTTGGTAGCGAGTGGCCCCAGGGCCAGTCCTACCAACACGCCCGAGGACCTGAGAGGCGCTCTATAGGGCTGGAACCCGAACTCATGCTTACTGCGGGCGCGGCGGGATGTCCAACAACTCATGAGAAAATTGCGGCATGACCCGAGCCCAGCTAGCTTCAAATGCGACAGCCTCGCGCCTGCACGGAGCTACTACTAGTGGCCGCCGTTCGACTTGTTGACGAGCAGCTCCCAGCGGTCGGGCTTGACGACGTCAGGCAGGATGCCGATGGAGTCCAGCACGCGGGGCAAGAGCCTCTCCAGCACGTTATGACTCATTGCGTTCCCAATCATGTGTGCCAGGCGGGCATCAGTCACCTTCGCGTCACGCCTGGTGTTGAACGTAGCAGGATCAAACCCTTGGAGCAGAGCCATTTCATCCAGCGTCACGCGCCGACCAAGATCGGCGACCCAGAAAGCAAAAGACACTGCCCGCGTCGCCGTAATGGTGGGGAACTCGTCGACCGTGTAGTGAGCGAACTGGGACGTCCCCCCGATGTCGACGATGATCCTGGAGTCCGTCAGCTTCACGTCGCACTTGGCCGCGTCGCGGAGTGCCGCCAGGACGTGATCCTTCTCCCTCTGGTTGTCCGGCAGCATGCCCTTCAGCGTGGTGACTTTGGGGCCCATGATGATTTTGTTCAGGGGGACGGTGCGAGTGAGCGGCAAGGGCCACGTGAATTGGCGCCTCTTCGCGCAGATCCTGATTGCCACCAGGTAAAAGCGAACCCGCGTCTGAGGCAGTCCGTGCTCGTCCGTCCGGAGGAGGGTGGCGTGCACCTCGTAGCCACCGTCCTCAATCTGCTTGATGAAGCGTAAGCGGTCCGCCTCGAACTTCTTCTGGGTCATCAGGGTCGGGGCGCACTCCAGCACGGCGGCTTTGGGCGTTTTCTGTTTGATGTAGTCGATCGCGTTGAACCACAGACTGCCTTCCGTGCTGTCGTAGCCCTCCTGGTTCCCTCCCTGGGCCCAGGTGCGGCAAGGTACTCCAGCGCAGTAGAGGTCGACTTTGGGAACGTTATATGTTACCCTCGAGGTGATGTCCCTGTAGCGGACCTCGCAGTCGGGGCTGGTAACGTTGACAGACAGCTTATTGCAGCTCAAGTTCTTCTCGCAATTGAAGACGCGCCTGACCCTGTAGCCCGCCTTCTTGAGCGCCAGCAGCGGTGTATCCATGCCCCCAAAGTCGGCCCCCAAGCGGAGCCCTCCGATCTCGACACTTGGAGTGGGAGCAACTGATGAGCTTGCTGCTGGCCGCTTCATCGGGCTCGCCTGAGCCTTTGCCTTAGCTTTCGGAGCAGATCGGGCGATGGTTCCAGTGATGCGCATGGCCTTCACCACCGCGGACTGACCGGCTCTGCCTATTGATGACGACCTCTGGCGCCTGCGCGACGACGGGCCGCGCTCTCGGGGGGACTCGCATAGCATCGTCGTAGAGGCGTCACGCAAGCAGTCCGTTGGAGGTGCGCCAATCTAGATGGGCAAGGCAATTGGTATGTATAGCCGTCTACGCGATTGAGCCAGTAAGAGCGAATTACCATTGGTGGTGGGCGGGCCGTCTGGGATAACAGGTCAGGCGGCGGCGGTGGCCGCCCGTGGTCCAGGGAAATAGGCGAGGAGGAGGAGATGCAGGAGAGCGCGTTGCTTCACCTCTGCACGAGAGCATGTGCATTATTGAGCGCCGCGCGCAGCAGCGGCAGGAGGGTGAAGGAGGAGGAGGAGATGGAGGATGAGGGGGAGGATGATGAGGGGAAAACGGTTTCCCTCCAGACCCGCAGGACAGCGGACCTCATCATCATCATCATCAGCGACGACTGCGAGTACGACACCCAGTGGCCAGGGACATCGGATGCTCTCTCCCTTCCTTGAGGCAGCCCTTCCTCCTCCTCCTCCTCCTCCTCCTCCTCATATACCTCCCCGTCACCATCGCCCACCCGTCCTCCTAGAGTGGAGAGCGCTTGATGATCAGAAGCCCCCTCTACTCCAAACGCTTCATCCTTCTCCTCCTCCTCCTCCGGGCCCTCCCTCCTCGCCATCCTTATTATCCCTGGGGAGGTGGAGGGGGGGGCCATTTGAACTCGCCAGCACCAGCGATGTCTCATAGATGCTTCCCGCATGCCTGAGACGAGGAACTTGCTTGCTGGTAGCAGCGAGCCTCGTTGCGTGAAACCCCACCGCGCCGCCACGCCGCCAGAGAAATGAACGATGCCAGAGCCGAGTTCTCGCCTGCCCCCTGCGCCACGATAGTAGGGCGCACCCCCTTATTGAGACAAGGCCAAGCACCCTGCCCCCCCCCGCAGCTTGACGGGGCGGCAACAAAGCAGCAAACTCTGCGCCGCTCCATGTTAGGGCGCGCTCTCCTGTGTGGTCGTCGTCGCCGCTCTTCACTCACCTGTCGTTATTGGAGAAGCGTCTGGCAAAGGCGGCTATTGTGCAGTTCAAATGCACATGCATCTCACTCACTTCTGGCTGTCGCTCCAGTGCGCAGCAGCATAGAACCCCCATCAGCGCGGCGCACTCAAAGCCTAAAAGCCAACCATGGACCGTGAGAGCAAACGAAAATCTGGCAGCGGCGCGGCTTCCCTGATCCATCAGGAGAAGAAAAAGAAAGCTCCAGGCCTAGTGTATGCCGGCAAGCAGCGACTCCAGGCTACCACCACCCGTGGCGCTGATCACCGCCGCGGCGGCGGCGCCGCCGCCCTCGTCGTCGCCGCCCGCCTCGGCATCCGCCTCAGCGTCGGCCGCGGCGCCCGCCGCCGCCGAGGCAGCCGCCCTCTTAGCAGCCGCGCGCTTAGCACCAGCGGTGGCGCGCTGCTTGGGCTGTGGATCAGGGGGCGGAGGAGGCGCGGCGCTCGTCGTCGTCGACTCGTTCTTGAACTTGGCGTAGTCCTTGTTGTAGACCGGGTGGCCCTCCGTGCACATCTTCGCCAGGTACTCGTCCACCAAGTGCTCCTGCAGCTCCGCCTGGTGGGGCGGCCCGAAGCAGACGCCGATGTAGGGCGTCGGCGGCGTCTCCTCCCACGTCGCAATCAAGAAATTGCCCGGGCCTGGGCTCAGGTCGATGATGCGGCGACCATAATACGAATGCTTGACCTCTTTGTAGTAGGCCACTGGGAGGGCCCACCAGAAGCCAGGCTCTGCTTTCTTCTTGCCGTTCGCGGTGTCGAGCTGGAAGTTGGGGCGGTTCTTGTCGTCGTCCTCGTCTTCTGCGGCGGCCGCCGCGGCCGTAGTCGGGTCCCCGCCCTCATCACCGTCGCTGTCGCCGTTATCACCAGGGTTCCGCCCTCCCACTGGGCGAATGTTATCGCCATACATCGCCTTCTTGACATCGAGGGGGCACTTCCAGGACTCAGCCCACTTCTGGAAACCCACAGGGCCCAACGCGTCACCCATGTTCGTGCCGCTGTAGACGGACCGCGCCTTCTCGGGGATGACGGCATCGGCAAACATGTACGCGTGCAGGCCCGTCAGCTGCTTGAGGGCCCCTACGCCGCGAACCCTCGAGCGGCGCTCCTTCAGGGAGTCCTCGGAAATCACGACGTGAGTCCAGAGCTTGACGAGATTTTCCTGCCGCGCCACAGAGTTCCACCTGCCTCTGCCAGCGACGAGATGCTTGCTGACGAAATCGGCGATGGTACGCTTGCCCCCGTCGCGGAAGAGGAAGACATCACCTCTGATGAGTTTGCAGCCGTTGTCATCTGGGTTCGCGGCCTTGCGCAAGGCGATGACGGAATTGATCAGGCGCGATAGTTGGGGCTTCCTTGCCGGCGGCTGCCGAGTGCGCGGCGCCGTCTGGGATTCCGTGAGCAGGTCCAGGTCGCAGTGTATCAGGACGTGCCCGCACGCGTCCCCAGGCAGTTTGGCGATCTCGCTCGCCTGCAGCGTCGCCACGAGCGCCGCCTCGGGAGAAGGCCCAAAAAGGAGGACCACCTGAAGGAGAGGGGGGATGATGGGGAGGGCCACGTCGTGGCCCTCCCCATCCCCCCTCCTCATCCCCCCCTCTCCCCCATCAGGAGGACCGCGAGGAGGAGGAGGAGGAGGAGGAGCAGTAGAAGGGGGATGGGGGGAGGGGGGAGGATGGGGCAGGAGGAGGTGAAGGAGGTGTAGGAGGCCTGCAGGGGTAATTTGACTCACCCCCATCATCATCACCTCCGCATTCTCCCTCCCCCATCCCCCCTCCGTCCCATCCTCCTCCAACGATTTGTAGGAGGGGGAAGACGTTGTTGTTGTTGTTGGGCGCGCCGCGGGACCTCGCTGCTGCCGCTGTCGCAAATCAGCTTGGCGCTCTCGCCGATCCTGCGGCGCGCGACGACCCTCCACATCTGCACCTCGGGAGAAGCGGGAGGAAGGAGGAAGGAGGAAGGAGGAAGGCGGAAGGAGGGAGGAGGAATGAGGAAGGAGGGAGGAGGAAGGAAGGAGGAGGAAGGAGGATGATAAGGAGAAGAATGAGAAGATATTGCCCCTATGGGCACCTTGTCATCCGAGACCTGGGCTCCCAGATCGGCGACGGCACCCGTAGTCCCCGTCGGCGGCGTCGCGCCGCTCCCCGTCGGCGGCGTCGCGCCGCTGCTGCCCGCCACACCGTGCTGCTGAGCTTGTGCCACGTCGTCAACGGCCAGCTCCAAGGCCACCTGGGCGTCGATCCTGTCAAGCTCGGCCTTGATGGCATCGGTCTCGACGATCTCATCCGGCGTCTTCTTGAGGCGCGCGCAGTAGCGCAGTTGGGCGTCGAACTCCGTACCGTAGATGAGGTTCTCGTAGGCGCGGATGGTCATCTTCTCACTGTCCTTGTATTCGGCGAGGAACGTCAGGTCGGGCTCATTGCCGATGGGGCTCAGCTTGGACCTGTACTTTGAGTGGCTGCCCAGCAGGTCGACGATCTCGTCTCTGCGCTTTGAACTGCCGGAGCCGCGCAGGCGCCTGTCGATGTCCGTCGCCAGCAGGTAGACCAACAGCTGCTTCTTGATCACGAAGAGGTCCACCAAGCCCTTGTGCCCGCCAGCTGATTCTTTCAGAGCGCGATTGGAGACCTCGCCAACGTCGAGCATGCCGCTAGTGACAACGTCACGGATCTTCTCCAAGACCCAAGTGATCAGCGTGGGCTGCTTATCGCACTTCGTCAGCACTGTGTTCAGCTTAGTCATGCCGTTGAGCGGGTTGTTATGGCCGTACTGCTCGGACAGAGAGCGCAGGATGGCAAGGTTTTTCCCGTCCTTGAGGATGTTGTTGTAGACGACCGATGTCTGGTTGATGAATGTGGAGGTCACCGCCTCTGACTCCGTGCTCAAGTTAATATCGTTCTCGTAGTATTGCGCCAGCGCCTCGTTGGAAACCTTGCCCGCTCCGCGGCTCTGCTCCATGAGCCTCCGAATCCGCAGCACTTCGAAAATGCGCTGGAGGGTGTCGCGGCCAACCGCCTTCGCCGTCTGCCGCATCTGCTCTCGAAGATTGATTGACCTGCGGATCGCCGCGTGGGACGGGTTGTCAACGCCGCCCTCGTGAAGCTCAAACTGGAACGCCGCGGACTGGAGGTCCACCTTGAACGCCTCGAGCACATCTTTGGAGGCCCCCCTGTCTATGGCATTGGCGATGCCGATTATGCGCGCGAAGTTCACCTCCTCGGGCGAGAGCCTGCGCAAGGCGCCCTGGTGCTCCATCGGATTGTACGCCAGGTCTGGGACCATTACCACGTTCGTGCCCGTCCACTGTTTGGGCTCAAAGAAGCTCTTCTCGGCGAGCTGGAGAATGCTAGTCTTGTTGTAGGGCACCCCTGGCTGCGCGGTGAACCAGAAATCCAACCATAACTCGTTGCCGCCGCAGCGGTAGGTCCCGTGAAGTTTCATTGCAGTCTGGTACTCAGCGAGATCAAAGGCCGCCTGCATTCCATGGATGTTGCTGCGCTGGCTCGTCTTCTTAGTACCGCCGCTCCTGGATGCCATGCGGGCGCGCTTGGCAGGCGTCTCCAAATCCCCATCGCCAGCACCCTCCTCGGCCGCCGAGCTGGCGTCCAGGGCCCCCGCGTCCCGCAGGTCGCGAAACACTTCGTGGCTGCAAATCTTTTCATACAGCGCGGCTATCTCGGCCAGGAACTCTTTGTTAATGCCATTGCTTTCGGCGCTGGCCACCTCCGAAGTCGGCGGGGGTTCGGCCTCCGCCTTGGCCTTGGCCTTGGCGCGCACCATGGCTTGGAGTACCTGGTGAGTCGGAGGCGAGGTCTTCAGACCTCTCTGATGGACCAAGGTCGAAGAAAGTTGCCTGCGGCGCAGCAAAGTGCGTCACTCACCACAACAGCCTAAAATGGCTAGGGAACGGATGGGAGGGCGGATGCAACGGGCTCCCCGGACGGAGGCGGACGACGACGGGATGGAGGAGGAGGAGGAGACGACGGCGAGGACCCCAAACAGTTTACCCCGAATTGTGCACCCTAAACAGTTTATTATTAACCCCGGACAGTTTACCCCAGACAGCGGGGAGAAGAAAGAGGATTGGAGCCCAAACAGCTCACCGCACAGAGTTTACCCTGGGCAGTTTACCTTGAACAGCTTACCCCAAACATTGCATCCACAAAACCTCGCGATCTTAACCTAAGAACGGTCATCAGAGCTATCAGAACACAGGTTCTTTCCAAGATCGGGATGTTGCGTCTTTGATGTTCGTGCACGTGTTATTATACATGTTATGTGTGTGATACAGTATGTTGTGTAATGCACGTCGTCCTCAGGAGCCGTCGCAGTTTTCAGGTTGTTTTGAACCCCTCTGGAGGCTTCATCACCACTGTCTCTTGTGAAGAATGCTTGCTCTCTGCTGCGTGGCAAGCGGCGCAGGGTGTACTGTAACAGGGCGCATGCACCAAAAGGCAGCGCAAAACCTTGCACCGGCGCGCAGCGCGCGTGAGCTCGCATGTATTGAAGACCTTAGCCTTTCAGAAACACATCATTGCATGTCATCGTCCGCCGCGGCCTGTAACCCAGTCGCCGCCTCCATATCGTCCAAGGTTAACTGCATGGCTTTGGCCGTGACGTAATACCACTTGTTCTCCATTACCTGGCGGGTGTCTGCCAGCTCGGGGCCCTTCGGGTTGCTGCCCTCCGCCAGCCTGATCTCCAGGAGGTACCGCTGGTGCTCTGGTGCTCTGGTAGCGCGAGCTCCTCGCCATACTCGGTCTCGGCCTTGATGAAGGCCAGGACGACGCTCTTCAGGTCCTCGACATTGGTGAAGTACTTTGCGTTGGTGCACGCCGCTTTGTTTGGGGGCCAGATATCCTCCCACACGTCGCACGGTTCGACGTAGACCATCAATTTGACCATGTTAG